AGTTTATAAATCACTTGGGAACTTCTATGGGTAGCAGGAGCCAGCAAGTGCAGATGAGCAAACAAGAGAAACAATCTATTTGCAAAAGCGGTGAGGAGTCCTGTGGCACCTTATTGACTAAGCAAAGTGTTGGAGCATAAGCTTTCATGAGCCAGGACCCATTTTGTCAGATGCACGTCATGTCAGATGCATGACATGCATCTGATGAAGTGGGTCCTGGCCCACGAAAGCTTATGCTCCAACACTTCGGTTAGTCTATAAGGTTCCACAGGACTCCTCACCGCTTTTGCAGATTCAGACTAACACGGCTACCCCTCTGATACTAAAAATCTATTTGGGTGATGTTGCACTTCTAAAAGCCTGCAGTTCCTATTCGCTCCATGTTGTAACCGGACTTCCCAGTTGTTTCTTATTTCATCCGAGCTTGTTAATCGTCTCTAGGTCAGGAACACATTTTTGGAAACAGAAACTCTCATCAACCTGCCCAGGACAGATCAAGGAGCACAGGTTAAAGCACACAGTGTGCCAGCAAGGCCCCACTGGCTTTCACTCGTTTGAAATGTTGGCTGTGATTGACTCTCAGCGCCCCAGCTTCAGGGTCTCGGTGAATATTTAGGGGAAATGATGATGTTCAAAATCACATCTGTAACAAACTGAACATTAAGGCTACCTGAACCATAGGCCCCCATAGCATTACCACATTGATCCCAGGGGCCAGTGCTGCGCCAGTTCATTTCGGATGCTACAAGGTTATTTTCCACATGCCTAGTGTGTCTGGACTGAATGGGCTGTAGATATTGGAGCCAATATGTCCTCCTTTGTATCCCCACCCTGAAAACCAGAGGCCTTGCTTTAGAATACTGTCCCTTGACTCCTGTGTCCTATGTAAAACACGTATAGGAATGAGCTCGAATGGATATGCCTTCACATGTTCACTAGTTAATTAGTAGAAACGCCCACAGACCCAGAACAGGGCCCACTTGTGCTGGGCACTAGGCACACAGGAAGCTAAAGACCCTGGATGGCATTTTCAGAACTCCTTTAGATGTCTTAAAAAAAACCATCCCTGCAGATTGTATCATCTGGAAAGACAAGACATACACAGAGAAGGGAAGGGAAGGGGGGGCTCAGAGATTGTGGGGGAGGGGTCCACACTCTATTAGTTCTGGGCTTTCCACTTTCATCCTTTGCCCCATCTGTTGGTTTATTCACCACTGAATCTGGTGATACCCCTGAACTGCAAACTTTCTGGGGCAGGGACTCTCTCTGTTTTAGAGTTTTGTTTGTATCCTTTTAGCACAATGGCACCCTGATCTCAGACTGCATCCTTAGCTGCCACTGCAACAGACACAGCATGATCATGACTCGCCTCCTGCGAGTCTAGATTTCCGTTTATCCCCAGCTCCCCAGTCAGAAGGGCTAACTTTCTTTGCTTCACCACATCTTTAGCCTCCTGCCCTGAAAACGCCCATTTCCCAGATCTCAGGCTGCAGAGGTGAGGCCAGGGGAGAAGGCAGCCAGTCAGAACCCAGTACCCAATATCAAAGTCTGTGGAGGAATTCCTAGGCGGCAGCCTCAGTCTTGCTGCTCTGCACCCAGCCCATGTGGCCAGAGCAGTACCTGGGGGCTCTCAAGGTTCTCTCTCTCTTACTCACACAAACATCCTGTCCCTGCGTCTGGTTCCAGAGGGGCTGCTCCACCGCATGTTTCTGGATGCCAGGGAAGTTCTTCCTGCTATCTGGGATTAGCCACACCCCGGGGGAACTGCTCCACTCCGCTGGTGCATGTGGATTGCAATGCTCACAGATGATGTCATGCACCACTTGTGTGCTATGCACCATCATTTCTTTAGCTACGGTGCCAGCCTCATAAGCTGCAACCAGCGCCTATCGCACTGATAACCAGGACGGTCTCAGTGTGACCTGGTGCTCTCCACACCTGTTCGTTGTATCCACTGGTTGTCTCGTATGCTTACATGATAAGCACGTCAGGGACCATCTTTTGGTTGTGTTTGTTCAGGGCCTAGCACAGCAGGGTGCAGCTTCCTGTTGCAGTACAGATCGCCAGTCATAATGACAACCTGTTGAATTTAGATGGTGCAATGCGAAGCGAGTGTAGATAATGAGATTCCAGAGGTACTGCAGAGTGCAGCCCCATGGCCACCAGATCCCGGGACGGGGATCTTCAAGGCATCATTTGTACACAGTACCTTTGAGTCCTCAGCAACGTGTGGGCTCGGTCTCAGCCTTTCGCGATTTCCCCTCGTTATTTAGCATTTGGAATTTTTATCTCATTAAAGTGAATCCCATGGAATTTGTGGTTTTGGGTGAGTATAGTCCCATTGATTGCCTCCTCCACCCATCCAACTACCCCCCATGCTATTCAAATACATGCCTCAAGTCAAATTCGGATGTCGGTCACAGTGGTGCAAATACAAACCAACACAGTGGTATAAACACAAACCAGCTAAAGCCAGGGGCAGGCCTGGTTTGACATAATTATTTGCCTAGTTTCCTATTGATCATAACTGGGAAGGTGAGTGGAAGGTTAACTTATAAACAGGGGCTTGACAACCAGTGTGCTGGAGTCGGGTTGTCTGTGTTAAGTTAAATAGCAACACCCTAATGTTATGGCCAAGATAAACCTGGAAGGTACAGCCCAGGTTCCATGTGAACTCATGGACAGAGCCTGCTGTCCAGAGATTGCAAAGTAATCACCCAACCCAAAACTGTGTGATTGATAGCGAATGCACTGCACCGTGCAAGTGCATCTAAAGGAAAAGGTTGTTTGTGTAACTTTGGATGTGTGGTACACCTGATCCCCACCCCCATACCTCAAACTGATTTTCTCAGCATTGTTTTGCTGAGAAGGAACCTGAAAGATGAAATCCAACTGAGTGTTTTGGACACCAGAGAACTGGATGAAATGTTCTCCCAGAACGGGGCAAGCGGCTCTGGATAAGCTGAGAGGAAAAGGACTTGGAGAGAATACCAGCTAGTGGCATTAGACTTGAATTACACAGTGTGTAAATGAGAGCAGGGTTTGGCCCCTTGTCTATCATGTACACTCAGCTTCTCCTTCTCTTTCTTAATTTTGCTTTAAGGCTATTTTTTCAAAAAGGAAACCTTTTGAACTTGCATTTGCTTTCTCCATTGAGTTGTATACATTTACAAGGCTGACTGTTTGTTAGTCACGTTGTTACTCCTGAGGGAATTCTGTGCCATATATATATATATATATATATATATATATATATATATATATATATACACACAC